TATGGAATGACCTTGACCTCATAGTCATGGTTTATTAGTCAGTAATAAATTTTTGGTTGTTTTTGTCGAGCATATAGTTGCCTTATGTTATGAAGTTTCTGTCTTTCATATTCTATGGTCCTTGACCTCATTTTCATGGTTCAGTGAATTCTTAAAAAAAAGTTTAGATTTTTTGTAATGTTAATTTCTCATTTATGATCATGAGTAATAGGATAACTATATTTAGTATATGCGTACCTTGCAAGTTCTTCATGCCTGCCAGACAGTTTTCATCTGACCTCAACCTCATTTCATTGATCAGTGAACAAGGTTAAGTTTTCGTGGTCAAGTCCATATATCAGATACTATTTTGTGTATGGAATGATTGTAAGGTGTACATGTCCAACTGGCAGGTGTGGTCTGTTCTTGACCTCATTTTCATGGTTGAGTGGTTAAAGTGAAGTTTTTTTTTTTTTTTTTTTTTTTTTTTTTTTCTAATACTATATGCAATAGGTCAACTTTATTTGGTGTATGGAAATATTTTACGATGTACATGTCAGTCTGGCCGATTTTATTTGACCTTGTCCTCATTTTCACGGTTCATTGCTCAGTGTTAAGTTTTTGTGTTTTGGTCTGTTTTTCTTAAACTATAAGCAATAGGTCAACTATATTTGGTGTATGGAATGATTGTAAGGTGTATATGTCTGTCTGGCAGATATCATCTTACCTTGACCTCATTTTCATTATTCATTGGTCAATGTTAAGTTTTCATGGTTAAGTTTGTTTCTTAGATACTGTAAACAATAGGTTAACTATATTTAATGCATTGATTGATTGTAAGGTGTACATGTCTGTCTGTCTGGTTTCTTAGAAACTATAAGCAATCTATAGGTCAATTATATTTGGTGTATGGAATGATTGTAAGGTTTACATGTATTTTAGGTTTAGTTTATCTGGCCTTGATCTCATTTTCTTGGATCATGTTAAGTTTATATTATACTTGTAGTCAAGCTTTATATTTAGGACTATCAACATAAAATTAATGGTCAATAAAGAAGGCAAGACATTTCAGCGTGTGCACTCTTGTTTCTGTATATGATATTCTATAAGCAATAGGTCAACAGTATTTGGTGTACTGAATGATTGCAAGGTGTACATGTTTGTCTGACAGGGTTCATATGACCATGACCTCATTTTTATGTTTCATTGGTCAATGTTAAGATTTTTTGTGGGTTGATCCATTTTTTGGGTACTGTAAGCATTAGGACCACTATATTTGGTTTATGGAATGATTGTAAGGCGTACACGTCTGTTTAGCATAGTTCATCTTACTGTGTGATCTCATTTTCATGGATCATAGATAATGTCAAATTTATGTGATGCTTGTATTTAAACCCTCATTTTACAGACTTTCAATATCAGTTCAATAACAAGCAAAGGAAGCAGACATTTTAGAGTGTGCACTCTTGTCACAACATAGCATTTCTAAGGGTTGAGAATCTTTTGCCATTTTTTTGTCCAATTTACCCGGTTGAAGATCCATTTAAGAAGTATATAACACCAGCAAAGTTACATGATTGAAACTGATATTTATTGGAATTTGGACTAACATTTCCTTACTGTTTTACTGATTTTTGATTTTGCTTCCCTTAAATGATAAGCTGAATTTTGGTTAACTCCCCTAGAATATATATGGTATGCATTAAGTGAGGCAATGATTTTTTAACTTGACTAAAAAGTTGATTTCCTGGATTGATGCATTGAGAATGAGGAAACTGCTAGACGTTTTATGATTTTCATTCATTTTGAAAAAAAGGAAGAATTTTTTTCAACTAAAAGCTGTCTTTGTTCAACGTATATGACTGTCCAGTCCCAAATCAATGTTCCATTCTCAAACATAACTCCAGCTTGACAACATACATAACATGTAATAATTTCAGATCTACATGTTATCTAAATACTTGATCACCAACAGGCGGCAATGTTGGTACAACAAGTCCACTCCATTTGGTGTATATGCAATTCCTATTGTTTTCATCCTGTGGTGCATGCTTCAGTATACATGTTACCTAAATCAATTGCATGCAGCGACGAAGGTCCAGACCCGGTATTGGTCTTGTCTTTTTATACATTGCCTAATTGGTATAATGAATCTATTAATGTTAGTATACTCAATATACCTTCTAAATTTACCTTTAAAAATTATTTTCAAAAATTCTTTATTGTTACTCTATTGCAGATATTAAACTTAAATGTGATCAAAATTTACAATAAATGTTTTTGTAGAGAGTCTTTTTTTATTACAAGATACTTTTAAATTATCTGTTTAATACCTTTCCAGTATTTTCAGATTGTTGTTTATTTATCTATGTATCTAAATAACATAATCATGACAATATATCCTTTGAAAATGGATCACATACTAAAGAAAGTGTTTCTGGAAAATGTATGAAACTGTTCCATAAATTTCTGCTTAAATTTATAATTGCATTAAGCATTTCAGATAAGTTGATCATGCCTGTAATGAAGTATGAGATCTTGTTGCCTTTCATGTAAAATGAAATGATAGTGTTGGGAAATAAGCAATCACCTTATTAGATTTTTAGATATTACAATTTATTTAGAATTGAATAAATTTCATCTTAATGTATTTCTAATTCATTTTTAAGTTAAACTAAAAATGAAAAAAAATTAAAGATTATCAATATTTGAGATTGTCCTTTAAAGATTAAAAAAAGAAATATGACCAAAATAAGTAATAAAAGTAAGTTACTTACCTTCGACTTAATACATCAATTTTTATACGCCCGTTTACGGGACGTATTATGGTATACCGTTGTCTGTCCGTCCGTCTGTCCGTCCGCTGTCAACATGTTGGACATTCATTCAAAAATGCTTTAACCAATACGCATGAAACTTTAGTAAATTGTTTATATCTATTGATGTGAGCTCTCTTTCGTTTTTTATAAATTTCGGATTTATCATTTCCGAGTTTTGGGGTTTTATTTATTAAAAAAGGGGGGATTTTCCAGTTTTGGGACAATAACTCGAAAACAATTTCACCAATTTGCATGAAACTTTTGTGAATTGTTTATATCTATTGACATGAGCTCCCTTTCGTTTTTTATAAATTTCAGATTTACCGTTTCCGAGTTTTTGGGTTTTATTCATTAAAAAAAGGGGGATTTTCCAGTTTTCGGACAATAACTCAAAAACAGTTTCACCAATTTGCATGAAACTTTTGTGAATTGTTTATATCTATTGATGTGAGCTCCCTTTCGTTTTTTATAAATTTAGGATTTACCGTTTCCGAGTTATAGGGTTTTATTCATTAAAAAAGGGGGGATTTTCCAGTTTTTGGACAATAACTCAAAAAAAATGTCACCAATTTGCAAGAAACTTATGTGAATTGTTCATATCTATTGACGTGAGCTCCCTTTTGAGTTTTATAAATTTCAGACTATACGTTTCCGATTTATGGGGTTTTATTCATTACAAAAAGGGGGATTTTCCAGTTTTCGGTCAATAACTCAAAAACGCTTCTAGCATTTTTTATGAAACTTTGGCAAATTGTTTATACATATTTTTGTAAGCTCCTTTTTATTTTTAATAAATTTTCGATTTTATGTTTCCGAGTTATAAGATTTTATTTGTTTATAGTCTGACAACAGATTTACTAAGTATTACGCAACAGCACAGTGTATTGCACAACAGCAAGAAATCTTCCATATAACCAATTTCAAGTTCTTTTACTACATTTATTCAGAAACCTATAATATATCAAATACCGGTATTTAATTACAATCCAAATTCAGACCTGTATCAAGCTTGAATATTGTGTCCATTTTTGCCCCAACTGTTCAGGGTTGGACCTCTGCGGGCGTATCCAGCTGCGCTCAGCGAAGCAGTTTATTGACTATATATGATTATTGAAAACATTTTGGATTAGGAGCTGTATCTTGTTTTTAATGATAGAAAATCAGTCATAGAACTACAGATAATCCTTACAAAACTAAATATACTCTAATAGATAATATAATAGATATAACATATTTTTATTGTTCATAAACTATACAAACGGATGAGACACAAGTTTTACAACTTAGTAATGTCTTCTCCATTTGTATAGTTGAGGAATAATAAAATATGTTAAAACAATTAGAGTACATTGTACTCTAATGTTGTGATTGATAAGAAAAAAAAATTAAATTCAAAGGTAAAGTAAAGTATTAATTGCCTGTACAAATGTATCCAGATTTTTTTCCAAGGTTAGTTATCGGTATATATTTTAGTCATTTTTAAGTTGTTCCTGCTTAAAAGTCATTTGTACTTTTATATTCTCTTGAGTTTTCATTAATATACAATCAAATTAAGCTATAAATGAATATAGAAATATGAATGTGTAAAGACATCCCTGTATATACTAATCATTACACATTAGTGGAACTATGGCTATATTTGTCACTTGGATGGCAGTGGATCCTTAAAGAACCATTCTTTTGAAATGATCAAATGATAACAGAGTTTGAATCAATAAGATAAAACTTAGAGAAATTTTAATCCATGTGTTAGTCAATAGTTTTTCCACTGAAATTTTTGTGCAGATTAGTCATGTACTTTTGAATAGTAATCCTTGAATGATTGGAAAAGATAAATCCTTCTTAAACACACATTTTATAATTATAAGTACAGGGAAGCCTTAATAAACTATCAACTTGAGGTGGCTGAAGTAAAAAACTAAAAGCTTCCACACGTGATGAATTCGTCAATTTGATCCAGTTCAGAAATTGAAACAATGAACACAGTATACGTAGAGATAAGGATTTAACACCAAAAGAACCCAGTTTGGTCTTGCGGTTTACCAAAAATGTGACAAATTCAATGTAGAAATATTTAATGTATATTATCATTTACTAAATTAAGTGAAATTTTCATAAGCCTCATTCAAAACAAAGTTATGCACATATTTTGAATAACATGATAATATAAAGTTATTTAAATTGTTATTACATCTATTTCAGGTTTCTCTGGAACATGAGATCCTACTTCATCCACGATATTTTGGTCCTAATTTATTGAACATAGTAAAACAGAAATTGTTCACAGAAGTGGAAGGAACATGTACAGGAAAGTATGCACTTTTTGTTTGTTTAACAAGCTTTTCATTTTAGATTGTAATAAGTTTTTTCAAGTCCTCACTTTTTGAAATACATGTATAAAAACAAGAAGATGTGGTATGATTGCCAATGAGACAACTCTCCAGCAGACCCTAAATAATGTAGAAGTTGACAACTGTAGGTCACCATACAGCATTGTAAGCTACATTTTAAAAGTTAACAGTATTTTGCCATACTCTTTGGAATTTTTCAATTGTTTATCTCTTAAATGTTTGTTTTAGATTTTGGAATCCCAATTTTATTTTGCCAGCCTCAAGCATCCCTAGGTATAACTAATTGAGGATCTTTTACATCAAAATTTATCATTAAATCTTATATTTTGAGAAAGGATTGATTTTAAGGGAAACAGAGTTAATGTAAAGTTTTTATTATTGTAGAGGAAGTCTTATGCTATTATGAAAATCTCAAATCTACTTAGGTATGAAAATTCAGCATAAGCGTTTCATTGAAGATGGATGTTTAATATCCAATAGTTACTATTTCAAACAATTTAAAGAGGGAACTTGAATGTCAATGCTATTGTATCCCACAAATAATGAGGAATCCAATGTATATATCTATGTAATATTGTAGGTATGGCTTTGTAATAGCAGTTACTACAATAGACAACATAGGAGCAGGCTTAATACAACCCAGTAGAGGATTTGTTGTTTATCCTGTCAAATATAAAGCTATTGTTTTCAGACCATTCAAAGGAGAGGTTTTAGATGCTGTAGTTACCCAAGTAAACAAGGTTAGTAAAGAATGGATAAATATTAAGCTTCTTGCATAGAGTTCAGACCATTCACTTGAGAGATATACACTGCTGCCATTGCTAAGGCTATAAAAGTTATGATGTTCAAATTATAGAAAAAATAATTGAAAAAAAGACCAAACAATTTTCAAGTTTCTAAAAAGGGTGTTCCAGGAGGACAGGTTGAGATTTTTATATTTTCAATTTGTATACAGTAAGGCATTTTGCATTGCAATTGTATCAACTGATTAATTGTTGTCTGCTATACGTCCAGTGGAAAATTTATCATGCATGTTCAGGACGAGAAAAAATTAACAATGAATGCAATACACTGTAGCTAGGTCCTACAATATTGGTCGACTGGGATGAAAGACCGGAAATTGTGAATGCCACTGAAAAATAAGGGTATATTTGATAGGGACAGAAATTTGGCCTTGCAACAGGCCACCTACTAACATCTCAAAAAGTTGTTGCAAGGGTTCTTAAAGTGCAGAGAGAGTGGCAATCTCTCTAAACAAGGCATTGGATTTAACGTCCCCATTCTGACCAATTCAAAGAATCTTTTAAAGTGCCCTCAATGTCCAGATTTCAACTGAATATAGTTTGTATGTTTATACATACAACACCTTGTAGGATGGGTTCTGATGTAGTCCAGATGTGGAATCTAGGTTGTAAGGATGTAAAATGAATAGTATTTCTATACTGCTACATGTATATATCCTTTGGGTTTTTGAAAATTTATAAATTTAAAAATTAAGTGTAGTTTAGAATATGTTAGTGTGATAATTAGAAATTGAATTGAAGAAGGAGAATCTTATTTTTATCAATGACATATTTTGCCTCAACCCTTTAGTTTGAATTTATGTTTCTTAATTAAGCTGCTCACAGAATTAAAACTTTTCATATTGATTTGTTCATGGTAATATAATTTTTGTTTAAAATACTTGCAATGATGGTGACTTTTGTTTTGTGTTATTTCATAATCATTGTGCTGTAAAATTCAGCATAATGCAAGTATTTATTAATGTGAATATTTGAAAAGGGACAATAATAAGAGATTTATTACTGTAATGCAATTTAAATCTTCTACATGGTGTTGTAAATTACTGTAGAAAATTAAGAATGAGTTCTTAATAGTTATTGCATTGTGCATCCTGTAGTATTAATAAAATTTTGCACTTTAATTTCTGAATTTACAGTACTGTTTGCTGATCCCTAAGTTATGTAGGTTGATAATGTTTGGGAGAAAGAATATACCCATACAGGCAAAATCTTATAAAGCTATAATTTTCAGACATTTACTGTATAGCGAGTTATTTTCGCTTATTTTCGTGGATAAATGAAAATCATAAAAATAAAATCTGCAAAAATTTATGTATGCGTTCGGCAATTTCTAATAGATTAAGAGTTTTGTAAAAGATCTGTATTTTTTACCGGTCTGCACGTCACTCTGCAGGTCCAAATGGTATATGTTAGTAACAACTTAAATGTCAAAGAGCATTGTATATTCATATGTATACCCTTATTAGTTAGTGTCAAATAAACTAAGAGTGTAAGGTTACCTGGTACTCTTTCAGGTATTTTACCCTTATTAATTAGTGTTAAATTATATAAGAGTTGTTAGTCCCTCTTGATAATTTTATAACCTAATTAGTACATCAAAGGTCCGGTCAATTTTGTAACTAATCAACTATAACATTTACAAGAAGTCTGTACACCTGTGACAAATATCTAAGTTACTGGTATTCTATTGATCAACTGTACCAGAATATAATCAATAAATACGAAATATTTTAAGGTAAAAAAAAATCACTTAACCACAACAGTCGACACTAAGTCTTATTTGATTGAATGGCAATAAAAATATTCGCTTTCAATTTAATTATCTTGAAGATGAACTTCCGCAAGCAAAAATATCACGAGAAAAGTAAATTTGAGACACTTTTGTAAATATATAACAGTATTTCAGTATCCAAAAAAATATTTAATTGGGAATTAAGAATCAGCCAAAATTAAAATCGCCAACATTTTTTGTATACTTTGATGCCCCTAAATCACATAAAAACCCTGTTTTATGGTATTTAGTTATAAAAATCATTTGTAAATGATAAGCTGCAAGATTTTTACTTCTTTCAGGTTGGTTTGTTCACAGAAATAGGACCATTGTCATGCTTTATATCAAGACATGTAAGTATCTTAATAGCAGTCGCATAAATTGATGCTATTTGTGTAAACTATTGTTAATAATGGAGAATCTTTACTTTACTGAATCATTAAATTTTTTATATTCTGTGAAGTTAAACAATTCCAGTTATACATATTAAGTGAAGTTACAAGCTACAAAAATAAAACTCATCAGAAAGCAATGATTTTCCAACAAACCAGGGTAATATCTATCCATCAATAACAGTATTGGTTGAGAAATATTCATCTCATAAAACTGCAGGTAGTACAATGTATATAGATGTTAAACAGACATTAATAACAAAAAGATTGACCATATATTTTTTTTTCTGTCAACTGATCAAAATTATTCAAATAATAACTAATGCTATCTAAAAAATTGTTAAATAAATTTGATCAGCTGGAACAGAATGATTGAAATATTGTTACCATAGTCTGACTTCTTTTCCTCATGAGTAACTTTAATTTCTACAGCTGTCAGTCTTTTCAAATATCCTCTGTATCAATCTTAATAGAACTGATCAGTTGCAGGTAATTTGTATATGATGAGACAGTCTGCTCTAAAAATGTCTTGATGGAAGAAAAATAACAAGAAACATTTTATTTGGATATTAACCATTGCTTTAAACCATATGTATTATTATTTTTATATATAAAAAATTTTCCTGTTACTTGTCCTACTTTTATAAAGATTTTTACATGTACATGAAACAGAAAGAATAACTACATTGATAAAAATATTATTTTTTCAGTCAATTCCTGCCGACATGGAGTTTGATCCCAATTCTAACCCTCCCTGTTATAAAACCAAAGATGAGGTTAGTATATCAATTATAACATCTCTCAGTTATTCTTACATGCAGTTGAATTTTTATATGGGTAGCAATTGATTGAAGAGAAAAAAGAAATAACATGAATTTTTATTTGTATAAACAAATAGGGAAATATTTATTATACTGATTACTGTAACACAACACTATAGAATGGAATCATTCACATACAAACTAAGACATCCATTTTCACTGAGCTAGTACACATTTTTATTTAGGGGCAAGCTGAAACTACTAAGTCTGTAAGAAAACATTTTCTTTATCCCAAACTTTTTTTCAGTGCAAACTTATGTTTTCAATTGAAAGAAATCTGTATAAAAAATGTTTGTAGACATAGGCTATCTGTCTTCACTTGGTACTTATGAAAGGGAAGATTCTTACAGACAGCTGACATAAATATATTGACAAGAAAAGTATCATGGCTAGGTTTGTTTGTGTCTTTTGGTTGTTTTGTCATTGACAGATACCTCACATCATCTTTGTTCATAGAAATAAAGTGACTTCTATTTTAGGATGTTGTTATACAGCAAGATGATGAAATCAGAGTGAAGATTGTAGGAACAAGAGTGGATGCTAAAGATATTGTAAGTAATAAACATTGTTGATTTGGCCTTGAAAGACAGGCTATAGTCATAAACATGGTCAGTAAGGCCTTAAGAGACAGGCTTTAATCATAGATTTTGTCAGTATGGCCTTATTATTGATTTATTGTTAGTTGCTTAATGTCCTAAGGCCTTATGAGACACCACCTTAAAAGACAGAGTATGGTCATAATCATTATCAGTAACATGGGCTAAAGAGACAACCTTGGATCATAAACATTTTCATTTGGCCTAACAAGACAGTCTTTGATTGTAAACATTGTCATAATGGCGTTCAGAGATGGACTTTGATTGTAAACATTGTTGTAATGGCCTTTTGAGATGGGCTTTGATCATAAACATCGAGATTGGTCTGAAGACATAAACATTGTCAGTGTGGCCTTTAGAAACAAGGTTTGGTAGTAAACAGGGTCACCATGGCCTTAAAAGATAGATTTTGATCATAAAATTTGTCAGTAAGGCTTTAAGAGAGAGGACCTTAAGAGGCAGGCTTTGATCATAAACATTGTCAGTATGGCCTAAGAGATAAACTTTAGTCATAAACATTGTCAGTATGTCCTTTGATTACAAGCATTGTAAGTGTGGCTTTAAACAGGCTTAGATTGTGAAAAGTGTCAGTATGGGCTAAAGAAACAAGCTTTGATGATAACCATTGTCAGTTTTACCTTAAAGAGTTACATGTAGGCTTTGATCATAAATAGGTCAGCATGACCTCAAGGGACAGGCTTTGATGTTCAAGATTGTCAGTATGGCCATAGGAGACACACTTTAGTTGTAAAAAGTAGCCACTTGCACAATCTTTTTTTTTGTCTGATTATACTGACAAACTTTGAAAGAATAATAGCCCTTAATTTATTCCAAAACAAACAGACTTTTTCGCTGGGTTCAAAAGTGCCTTATACTAGTGGCTAAGATGTTTTGTTTTATTAAATTATTCTTTAAAAATAAAACAAGCATATAATTTTGGCAGAATTATTCATTCAACTTCAACAATATTTACTCTACACTTTTGACACAACTTAAGCCATTCTGTATAAACTGTTTCTGAATAAAAATGCTTAGTATTGAGTCATCATAAACAAACTTGTTGACAAAATAATCAAAACACCCAAAGTCGGACATAAAGCTGTGAAATGTCAGGTATAGCCTAGATGTTTTATGTTTTAGCAAAGTAGATGTAATTACCAATTTGTACTAATTAGCTAGTTGATATTCACAGTGAATTCAATGAAAATTATTGTCATATTGAATACATTTACTAGTATGAATAGAACATTTTTATATGACCACAAAAATTTGAGGCGATATAATGGTATAGGGGTGTCGTCTTCATCCTCATCCAAAGACATTTGGTGTCTAGACAATAACTTGAGTATAAGTTTATGGATCTCTATGAAATTGTACCACAATGTTCCATATCACAAAAGGAAGGTTGGGGTTGAATTTGGGGGTTATGGTCCAAACTGTTTAGGATTTAGGGGCCAATAAGGGGCCAAAAACAAGGATTTTCTGGTTTACAGACAATAACTTGAGTATAAGTCAAGTTTCCAAGGTTCCATACCAAAAAAAGGAAGGTTGGGATTGAATGATTAAATGGCCCTAACTGTTTAGGAATTAGGGGCTAAAAATGTACTTTGTATAAATTGCTTATTTCTTGACCAATTTCAATGGGGTTTAATTTAAAGTCTGGAATTCTTGGGGTTCTTAATATGCTGAATCTAACTGTGTATTTAGATTTTGAATTTTGGGACCTGTTTTTAAATTGGTCTACATTGAGATCCAAAGGGTACAAAATTAAACTTTTGTTTGATTTGATCAAAAATTGAATTCTTGGGGCTGTTTGATATGCTGAATCTAACCCATGTATTTCAGACAGTTATTTCCATTCGTTTGATGTGTTTGAGCTTTTGATTTTTTCATGTGATAAGAGACTTTTCGATTTGAATTTCCCTTGGAGTTTGGTATTTTTGTCATTTTACTTTTTAGATTTACGATATTGGACCATAATAGGTAAATGCCCAATTTCAAATTTTTGAAGTTCTTAGACCACATTCATTCTGTGTCAGAAACCTATGCTGTGTCAAATATTTAATCACAATCCAAATTAAGATCTGTATCAAGCTTGAATATTTTTCCAAAGACAAAAACATTAAAATTTTAGACACTCTTTTGAATTTCTATTAAATCATTAAATTTAAACTTGCAAAAGTAATAATTAATAATTAATAAATTTTAGACACTCTTTTGAATTTCGATTAACTCATAAGATTTAATCTTGCAAAAGTGGTATATTGTGCATAATTTGTATTGTTTTATGTATAGATTTTTGTGGATTCCATTACTAATTAAAACAAAACAGCAATACAAAGAAATCTTTCCCCATAGATTTACTCTCACAAATTCAGAAATCAGATTTGAAATGTCTTAACTAATAGTAATACTTAATTCTGTGGATGTAGTACTGAATATTGGATACTAAGTAATGTGGGATATTGAAGTTTGAGATAATCCGTATAATTAGTCTTTTTGATGTGTTTCCCTGCTTTATAGCGCTCTCTAGAAAATCAATTATCAGTGTAAAGAAGGGATGTGATGTTTGAATTCTTTACACATATTACTGCATATGCTTGTCAAAACCCAAGACAGAAGAGGCTTCATCTCAAAGTCACAAAGAGAACTCCAACAGAGTGTGAAAAATTGCATGTCATTGCAAGTTTAATATGACCTCTCGTACCGGTCTGCACATATTTATTTTTGGGATTTTGAAAAACACTCATCTATGTATTGAATCACACAGATGCAGGTTATTAATTTTAAACTTAAAATTGTTCAAAGAATTTGTTCCTGTTCTGCATCAAAGCAGCTGTAGGTTCTTATGATTTGATGGGAGGTTTGTGCACAATGTTACAACACACTGTAACAATGAAACTATACTGTTTTTACTGTTTTTCTTACTTAAAAAATGTTTACGATCATGTCAGTGCATATATTTGGAACAGTGTCAGGAAATAAAATGGTTAGAACATAGAATTTTCGAACTATATTCAAAAATATTCCACAGTTTACTAAACTATATATTTTTATAGTACAAAGTATATATAATATCAAAACTTTGGTACAGAAAGATTTGATTGAATGCTTAAAGGTCACTGAACATGACCCCTTATGAGATGTCTTCAGATCTGTTATGTGTGACAAACAAAGCTAACAGAGCAGAGTGAAAGATCTGATTTTTATCAGATTGCAGTAAGGGAACCTTGGATGATGTGTAATTTTGTTTTGCTATCTATTCATATGCCAGCACATTGCAGAACCACCTCAAAACTTATTGTGCTTTGCAAAGCAACAGTGTGTATTTTTTGCGAACACTACCTCATACTTAACTATGTCCAGAATTGGAGTCTACACATGACCATCACTTTTGTTTAAAGGACGGGTCTCAAATTGTGATTTTGCTATTGACGTAAACAGTTACCCAGTCTCTTCCTACACAATGGCTTAGCATAATTTTTGTTGGATGGCTTATCATCTAGTTCTTAAAATTTAGTGCATGGAGCCTGGTTTTTCTGTGTCAAATTTTAATGATCAGATTCAGTTTTTAGCTTAACAGCACTCCTAAAGATGTTGTTTATAAATCTTGCAAAACTATTTGCATATGTGTCTGGGGTTTTCCTGTCTGTAAGAACTGATCAATGAAACATTTTTTTTTTCAAATTAGTGTCAATAGATGTATAACAAATCTCATGTGCTGCCAATTTAAATTTTTTATACTGCCCAAAAATTTTTCAGAAGCATGTAGCTGTCTCTTTTTCCTTTTGTCTGTCTGTCCATCCTTCTGGGTGTCAAAAACAAATTGTTTCCTGAATAAAGCTGATGACAACTAGAGAATCTAATTCTTGATTAGAATGAAATTTATGAAGATTGAAGATAAAGGGAAGGGCAAGAATCCTTTTGATTTTGTGGTATATAGGTCAAAATTCAAGGTAATTGTAACTAGAATATATTTTTCTTAGAAAATTTCTTTGGAAGGTACATTGAAATTCCCTTGCTTAATTAGAATGAGCATAATACAGATGGAAATTATAGGAAAGGCAAAGAATGTTTGGTCAATAGATCTAAGTTCAAGGACTGTTACTTAAAATAGATTGTTTTAACAAAAATGGTTTCAGGATTGTAACTTGAGATTCCCTTGCTTAAATGAAATGAAAATTATTCAGATTGAAGATATAGGAAGGTCAAATTTTTTGTTGAGAAAATGGTTTCAAGATTGTAACTTGGGTCCCCTTGCTAGATTGGAATGAAATTTATTAAGATGGAAGATATAGATATGGAGTCAATAGATCAAAGATAATAGTAACTTTTGAAAAATGTTGGTTTCAATATGATAGTATAGTTTCCTTTGTTTAAAATGAAACATTTACAGATGGAAGATATGAGGAAAGGGAAGTATCTTATCAATTTGAAGGTCAAGGTCACAACTTCTAAAATGACAAAATAAAAGAAAAAATAATTGCAATTTGTTTCTGGGTGATGTTATAAGGTATACATTTAAAGATATAATCAAGTGGTTGAAAGCAAAAAAGGAGATGAAGCCCATTAATTTTAGGCCTGTAAATCAAAAGTCATGGCCATATTTGATAAGGATTGTTTCTGAAAAAATTCTTTTAAAGTATATGTCTTTTTTATGCCCCCCTCGTAGTGGAGGGGGCATTACGTTTTACCCTTGTCCGTCTGTATGTCTGTCTGTACGTATGTATGTCTGTACGTATGTATGTCTGTACATATGTATGTCTGTACATCCGTACGGCCATACGTCCCAAAATTGGTGTCCGTCTTTAACTTTAGTTAGCCTCAACCAAATGTTAGGAAACTTATACACAATTCTTATTACCACAAAACACAGATTAAGTTTGAATTTGGGTGGTGTCACTTTTACGTTTCTAGAGTTATGCCCCTTTACAAATGGAAATATTGCTGAATTT